GTATATATATATATATATATATATATATATATAATATATAATGTATATATATATATACATACATATATACATATTGAATGCTACAAATAAACTGCTAAAGAACATAAACGAACCATCGAGTATTCACAAACACTGCAGCTGCTGTAGCACACTATCGTCCGTCCGTCCTTCCTGTCAGCGTCCAGCTGTCAGAAACAGTGATCTTCGCGGTAATGAATGCGACGATCTCGATACTCCTCCACGCCGCAGTTGCGGATTGCTCGTGGCCTCATCTGTATCGATCAGATCTGTTCTCGAAAAGAAGCAATCGGCTTCTTTTGTGATCTTAAAAATGCTTACGAGCAGCTCGAGCGTACAAGAATCCTTTTGATCCTTGACCGTACTCCCCCACGCACTTTTCTTCCACACGTGTGTTTTCTAATTATTCGATAGATCTATTTATTTTATCCTCACTTTTGACAAAACAGTCTCACATTGTCAAAGAACCGCTGTCAATGATAAGAATCTTGCTCACGATATTGTCCGTCGTAACCACTGTCATGCCTATATATTCTGCCCGTGCTGGCAATTGTACGATAATGCCGCTTAACTTTTATTAGCGCTATCATTTATATGGTATTGTTTTAATATTTAATTAAGCGAGCTATCATTCTCCTGAGACAATATTTCTAACGTCAAGAACAACGATATTTGTCTTTTTTAGGGAAAATCCTAAAAACTCTTTACCTTATCGCATTTCACTTGTTGTATTCTTTTCGTTTAAAAGAGTCTTTTTCTAAATATGTAATATAAATTTTAATCACCAGAAACGCTGGCAATCTCATCGGATTCTTAAAACATTTGCGCGCGACGGAGTAAAAAGAGGAAAAGGAATCGAAGGAAAAGTATATACCTCTCTACATTCACTCTTTCTTTCAGCGTCAAAATGTTAAACGGGTGCTTGTCAGATACATATGGTTATCAGGCGAAAGAACGAAATGAGCAAATGGACATGTGTACGTATGAAATAATGAGAAACGAATGCACCTAGTAAATAAAACCGTCGTTCATGGACGTTTTAGGGGACGCGCCATTGTACGTTTTCACGCGCATCCATTCGTGTGTGTAACGCTGTTATTTTCGGAGGCTAACAAAAATCAGAAATGTTAAATGTTCACGTCATCGCGGCAAGAATAAAAAAAAAAACACATTGCATGAAAAATACGCGAATACGAATTTTGAGATATTCAGGGGAGATACAAGCGAGAAAAGCCAAGGGAAACTATACCAACGCGTTCTCTCGTCTTCTTTTCTTTTCTCTTGTTTTATTATGTTTCTTTTTCTTTTTTTTTTTTCTTTACTATATGTTATTCTTCACGCGAAAAAATCCATGCCAAAAATCGACGAGCAGCCAAGCAGGAAGAAGCGCAAAGTGAATCACTCCCGGAAAACGATGGTCACACGGGAAACGTACCATTGTCAGGTACGAGCGATTCGCGAACTCAAATTAGAGTCCGTCACCTCCTCCTTCTTCCGCCACCACCGTCTCCTCCTCCTCCTTCTCCTCCGCCACCTTTTCCTACACCACCACCTCCTCCTCCTTCTTCTTCTTCTTCTCTTTTTCCTCCTCCTTTTCCTCTTCTGTACTTATTCGCGCAATATTGCGTGGCGCGAACTCATTCGAAAAAATACACGAGTTACAACCGAAAAATTATCTAGACGTATGCTGGGACAGCACAATCTTTCCCGGTTATAGAAATTGTATAAATAAAAAATCTCTGCCTGATAAATGGTAAATAAACAGTGAAGTGACGGAGCGACCACAAGAATCACTGTAGCAACGACGAGCTACAAAACTTGTACAGCGAATAATGCGTTATACGAACAAATAAATTCTACGAACGAACGCGCAACAAAGATGTACCGATTTGAAAACGTGGAAAACGTAACGAACGATTAGTAAACTGGACATAAAATTAACAGCGTTCCTCCGCTCGTGCGAATTTGAGTAGAAACTAGTAGCACGAATCCGTGTTGGTCCGAGCATCTGGCTCTATATAAAGCACACGGTACAGTTTTCCCATATTTTTTCGAGAAGTACGCCACACCGCGCCATTTCTGCGTTAAGACTCCAACCGGATGGAAGATTTGGAAAAAGCGCCATACCTTTGGCACGATAGCACATGATACAGAGAGATTGTAGCCGGTGAGATTTTTTTTTTTTTTTTTCTGTCAGTGGGGAACACTTTGATCGAAACGAGTTGGGCACACGAGACTTAGGAGGAGGGCGCTCTTTCGGATCCCGAGAGAGGCTTTGGCGCGCCGAGATTTGTATGCGAACTACGTTTCGCTGTTGACGGAACGACGGATACAACGTTGGTCGTCGCGACGACACTGAGACGCCGGTCGTCGGAACGCCGCATATCGAGACGCGGACGGTACCGCGCACGGCGGCCAGGTACGGCACCCTAAACAGTTATTAATAGCCTCTGTCCTAGCTTACTAGATTTGCCCTCGAACCGACGCGATGCGATGCGACGCGACGCGACGCGACGCGACGCGACGCAGCGCGACGCGACGCTACGTCAAGCGATTCCCACATCTCCTTTTTGTTAACCCTCCTGCCTGTTCCTCTCTATTTTAATGCCTCTTGTCAAACTTGGTCGATTAGTCAACTGGTCAAGTTTCATGATACGCTCTCCTGCTGCTATATTCGTGATTTTGCATAAAATCTTAAGTTTGTAGTAAAAAGACGTGCGAATCGACCAAAGCCTTGATTTGATTAATGCGCAGTACATGTAATTTTTGTCATGCGAGTTAATCGGCATTTGCAGAAAAAAATTGTAGTGGATAACACGAATAAATTCTACATGTGTATCTCGAAATAGAACAGATCAGTCAGGTAAATGACATATATATGACAAAACACCAAACACGCGCATTTAAAGCGCGCGTGCTGCGCGCCATTGCCACTAAAATAAAAAAAAAAAAAAACAATTCACATTCGTCGTCATTTTCTACGTAGAACATGTTCATATTTAAAGATTTGCGATAAAATAGCAAACAAATTCAGTCAGCAGCGGAACGCATTATACAAAGTAAAATCGAGCAATTTCTCACATAAGCAGCGAACATAAACAAGATGTTTTAAAAATGTAAGCACCTGTCCAACGGAAGGAGCTTGCAGATAAGTCGAGACATCCGGTTCCACCATGCAGCTTCTCAAAGTGTCTGGGATGAACATGAGTATTCTGAACGTTGTCTGAGAGCCAGGCTGGAGCCGGTTCGATTCCGTCGTCGCTATGATATCGTTTGATATCACTCGGCGCCGCTGGACGCCGCTGGACGCCGCTCGACACCGCGCTTTAATGCCCAAGTCCAATCGACTTGGTCTGGTTACTATGCAAGAGAGGAGCGAGCTTAGTTCAGGTAACGAGCGTGAACTTGAAATTCTCCGTAATCGAAGCGTCGATCGAGTAATGGGGAGTGCGCGTCAAGCACCCTTCCGTACGATCGTTCTCGCGAATTCCTCGAGATCAAGCACGTGGATTGAAGAAAATTTCTTTCTTCGTTAACTTCCGTGGTCGAACAAATGCCAGATGATACAACAATGATTTTAATGATGCGGTCGCGTCGAGTTCTTAAACTGCGCGAGGACCTCCGGTCGCTCTGTCCGTCCTTGGCGATTCGGCCGCTACTTCTTACTCCCGCGTTCTCGAGAGACGTTCTTGCAGAACTGTCGTTCCTGGCACCAATGGGTCTGTTGGTGATGGTATTACGGATGCTGTTGACGTTACTGAACTGTCGTTTGTCGAACGGTGACGAGACGCCGCACCCAAGCACACGCATCCTATCTACCCGCAGCAGCCACGGTTGTGAACTTTTCGATTTCGGATCTTCTCTGTGTTTCTTTCTCGTACCGCCACAATTCGCGATTCTCCCCCATGCACGCAATGTCGCTCCTTTCTCGTACCTCTCTTTTACACACTCCCTCTCTTTCTTTCTCTCTCTCTCTCCCTCTTTCTTTCTCTTTCTCCCGCTTTTTCTTACGCTCTTTTTACCCCTTCTTATTCTCAATATTGTCTTTTTTCTTTTTAGAAATGCCTGTAAAAATGTTTCCTAGATTTTCATTCGGCACTCTGTCTTTCTCTTATTCATTCTTTCTTTCTCTTTCTCTTTCTTTCCGCCCTCTTTCCTCTTTCGCTCTTTTCTTAAACCTTCTATTTTATGTATTTCTTACTTTTTTTCTTTGATTTTGCAGCCTTGATTTTTTAGTTTACTTTCTATTCTCTCTGTCTCTCTCTTTCTCTTTTTTTCTTCTCTGTATTTTTGTCAATGATTCACACTTCTTCTCTTTTTGTCTCTCTCTCTCTCTCTTTGCTGCGTAATTTTGAGATTCTTTGTTGCCACTTTGACAAAGAATATGATAACACAGCACAACGGAAATAATAATGAAGGATGCTTCAGTTCCTTTTAGCTCTCCTGTGTCCGAAGACGCCGAGCCTCGGACTACATCGACTCCAAATCGCGAACGTTGCGTCGGCGTCGGCGTCGGCGTCGGCGTCGGCGTCGACGTCGGCGTCCGCGTCGGCGTTAACATCGGCGTCGGCGTAAAATGCAAGCAGCGTTGCGCAAACTCGATATCAGAGTGCAGTCCACCATAAAATATAGAAAGATAATCTAAAAAAACAGGAAATAAAAACGTACAAATCGGAATAGATGACATATTGCATATAAATGCTGTGAAAACGAAACATAATAGAAGGACAAGAAAAACCAATATTAAAGTCAAATTTAAAATAGAGAGTTGATATTTAATAAAGAGAAATATTTAATTGTGATAAACGTAGAAAAGATATTATTCGAAAGAGAGAAGCAGAAATTTGGAAAAATAATAACAATTAAAAGGAGAAAAAAACAAGAAACATTAACGAATGAAAATATGAGAACTGATTTAAAAAAAAAAAAAACAATAAATAACAATAAGGAACAACAATTCGAATTCGAATACATTGATTTCAGATAACATAAAATTCAAAATCCAGACATAAGATATCTTTAAAATGTCATGTAGACATTTTAGATGCCTTTCATAAAAATTAAATAAAATATAAATCAAAGCTCTAAAGTATAAATAAAGCAAAAAATTACAATAAAATTAAATAAAAATTAATACTAAATCCAAATATGTCAAAATTCATATATACTTAACAATAATATAAATGTAAACGTTTTAATCTTCTTTAATACAATCAAATATATTATTGCAAATAGGATTTAATAAACTATATTAAAAATTATAGATCATATAGATCATAAAAAATCGATGGTTTGTCATTAAATAGTCAATGGTAAAACAATGTAAAATGCATCATTAAATAAGAAGAAATAATAAAAATTAAAAATCAAGAAATATCCAAAAAATAATGTAGAATTAAAAAAAATGAATAATAAAAAATAATGAAAAAATAGTCGAATAAATGGAAACTTAACATATAACTTAACATATCTAATATAAATCAGCACAACCACAATCAATATTTTCCTTAAATACGAACGATACCGATATGTTTTTTTTAAGTATGATAAGAATATCAAAAAACTTACCACAAATTGAACAATCTAAAATTAAAATAATATTGAGCAATGCTGTATGAGGAGCAGAAATCCAAATTCAATAAGAAAAACAAAAAGATATTTGTACTCGGCAGGAGTTACATTTTCGTCCATTTTCTCTTATGCTTATATTTCAAACAAATAGCATTCTGTCATTTACTGGTATGTCAACAGATGCATCATATCCAACTGCAACATTCAACATTCACTAACAATCAGAGACAGGAAAGAGCTACTTCTAACAATAATATATACATATAATACATGAACAGTAACATTATAAGAATTGAGCTCCTCTTACAATTATTAAAAATTTCAAAGAAATAAATGAAAAAAATTTGAATAGTAATATTTGATTTTTTTTTATCTTATCTCAAACATACTATCAATTTTTCATGTGTATTTATTTCTTTTCCAAATTGTGTGTCCTTTTTTATATTCTCTTCAAATAAATTATATAAAAATTCAAATTCCTCTTTACTTATTCTAAAATACATATGAAATCTATTAGGATAGATTCGCATAATTCTTTAACTACACTTAAATATTCTACAAAATCTTTTCTTTTTTTTTTATTTATTTCATATTGTTCTGTTATTTTTATTATAAATTAAAAATCCAAGAACCATTAAATTTTCAATATCTTCTTCCCAATCAGAAAAATTATTGCTCAAATCATATCACTCTATAATTATCATTAACTTATCACACTCTTCTTTATTAAAAATCACATATTCAAAATGACTATGCATGTGACAAAAGTATGTCTCCTAAGTGTGATATCATGCGTTATTACATCTAACATAATATCATGTGATATTATGTGAGCTCATGTCATGTGAATGTGTCTGTACCTTTATGAGCATTGTCAACATTTTTTTGTTAGAAGTAAATAATATGATAAAAAAAATGTCATCCTGACATTGAAGACAACGTATATCATAATAAATCAGGCTGGTTATTAATATAATGTTTCATAGTTAAGACAACGTTATTAGGATTTATTCTGATATCAAATAGGCAGATATTCACTTCATATATGGAGCTAACAGGGACACAGCAGAAGTACTCGACGTTTCTATCGGGAGATCTTCCTTCGGAGGTAATATCCTGCTAAAAGTACATTTTCTTCGACGCATCGTCGATTTAAAGAAATTGGATCTTTTTCACTTAGTACTTTAATTAATCGAGGACAAAACAAACCCTTGTTCAAAACCTTTGACGTTAAAGAACAGGTATTTACACGCATCAGAGACAATCCAAAATTCAGCATGAGATATATTACATTAGACGAGTAAAATGTTTTTCGTAAAACTGTACAAAAAAATTTACGAGAAAATTATTTATATCCTTATCACGTACAGCGAGTACAAGAACTTCTGTATGAAAATCTAATAACAATATCAGTTTTCGCGAAGCGTATGAACTGGAATTATTGGACTTTTTTGAACCAGGTTTTCTTCCGTTTATATTCAATATTCAATTAGAAATTACATATAATTTTTGGAAACTAACCTTTCAACATTATTACAAGACGTGCTTTTAACAAATATAGCTTACACAATCAAGTTCCATCTCATTTTAATCGAACTGTTCGGCTGATTTTTCATGCTGACGCTTGATGCTCATTTTTAACGTTAAACTAGATCACGTGATCAAAATTAAACAGAATATGTGAAATCTGAATGGCCATTTTTGATCACGTGATCTAGTTTGATGTTAAAAATGAGCGTCAGCATGAAAAGTCAGCCTTAGGGCATCTAGCTACTCTAATTTATCGACAAATGGGAGATGTGATAATCATTGTGATTACCCAGCATTCGCGATAGGAGCGCGACGAATGTTGGATGCGTGATTTACAAATGACTATAAATGATAAAGCATCTGTTTGTAGCACACCTCCAATTATTTTGTCGCAATGTAACTGCGAATATTCGTGATTCTAGATTAGTGACAGACATTATTTTTTGATAACAGTCATTTTGTCATTATTATCGAGTTATAGCAGTTATTTAACTATTAACTGTTTAATAAAAAAGACAGTTATTCAGTTATTTTGGCCGAATGATATTTCGATATCATAGCCGTTATTGCGTTGACCACAAATGTGTTGACTAGCTGCAGAATTAAGTATTTCTAAAGCTTAAAAACTTATCTATCATGTACTTATCTATCATGTTCAACACTTTGTCGAAAACAGATAAATAAGATATCAGTTTTTAGACTTTAAAGAGACTAATGTTATAGAGAAGTCTATAATTTATATACATCAAAAGAATTTAATAATTAATTATGAAAAATATATGTTTTCATTGTAATACATGTATAAATTTTATGTTTATACAATTTATACAAATGCAATATATATGTATGAATAATGTCGAAAGTTGCTATCTCCCTATCGCCAGTTTGAACTGTGATGTTAAAAGCAAGAAATTATACTAATTTTTTAAAAAAATGTAAAAATTATATAAGCATATAAGTTTAAAAATCACATAACACTTGTTTATTATGTAATACTATTCAATAAATTCTAACTATAACATATTAGCAAAATTTACAATAACAACTTTGATTAAATACTTTTAATAATAATGAAATTAGTAATTATATAATATTTTTATTCATTTCTTTTGAAATGATATATATTACAATAAATAGATACATGTATATAAAAACTGAGATTATTTTACACATGTAGAACATGTGTGCGTATACATACATGGAAAACTAAAAATCATAGTCAGCGTAACTTTGATTGAACAAAATTGCTCTGTAGTCCCCAAAAATTCAATGTATTTTATTTGAACTTAAATCAATCATATCAATATTTGACTTAAGTAAACTAATTTCAATTGTACATATATACATTTATATACACTCGTGCATGCATGCATTATGTATGTGTACATAAGTGTGAGATATTTCAAATCCGTCCTAATTTCTTTTTTTTTCTAGAAATAGAAAACGATCGGAAGTTAGAAAAAGAATTATCAAAAGTAGAGTATACTTGAATCAAGTTTGAAATTTTAAATAGGACAATAGACTAAGATATTGAATAAATTTTTGAATAACAAATATTTGTTTAAACTTTTTTGAGTCCTCCTTTCAGTTTACAAGAAAAGTAAAAAATGTCACAAATTATGAATCATTCATTTTTTTCAGATATAAAACATTATTGGAAGTTTAAATTAAAAAATTTTTAAATAAATTTTATATGATAGATAGTATTTGTACTTTCAAGAACAGATTAAAAACGGAACAAATTGTAGTACATTTTTAAATTTTAAATTGAAATATATATATATAGAGAGAGAGAGAGAGAGAGAGAGAGAGAGAGAGAAAGATTAGATTGGTATTTAGATTTTGTTGGATAAGCTTATTGACAAGAAACATCTTTAAATAAAAGTTTATTATTTCTTAATTTCTGATTAATAAAAGATAATTTAAGATTATTTTTTATGAGTACATTTTCTTAACAAAATAAAAATACTTTATTTAATCATAAGAGATATAAAAACTTAAAAATACGTCTTTTCAATAAACCTAATATCCAATATCTTATCTATCTCTAATTTGTTTCAATTTAAAATTTAAAAGTTTATTATAATCTATACTTCTAGGACAGGTTCTATTAGCATTCATAACACTCGTAATCATTTATCTCTGTTTAATATTTGGTGAAGATGAAATAAATGTTATGAATGTCAAATGAAATGTACTTCTAGTCTATCCTTGAAAGTATACATATGTGTGCATGCATATAAGAATCGGTTACAATTTCTTTTAAAAAACTTTCATTTTTGCAAACATTAGATCACAAATTTGACATTCCATGCCAAATGATTATGAAAAAAAGATTTATATCCATGTTTGTACTGCTTGCTTAAAACTACTTAGAGCTGTGTTTACAATATTAACAAATAATCATTTTTTCATAATTTATTCAATATGAATTCTTAGTTTCAGATTTATACAAGTTTCATTATAAACAAATACCTGAAAAATATTCTTTACAAAAGTTTAAGTAATATTCTCATTTTTAATATTACCTATATTGCATATAACAAGATTTCAATCAAGTCTCTAACAGTAATGATTTATATACCAATCCATTTAACATGAAATAATGTAAGTGGCATAAGGATACATTACTAGATACATTATAAAAATGTCTCCTAATGTTTTGTCCAAAAATTATTTTTAAAAGTTGTATAATAATCCCATTGGACAACATCGTTGTTGTATATCTCATGATTCTCCTAATTATTGATATATTGGTAATGGTCGATAATAAACACATTAAAACTGAAAAGAAAACCCAATAATGAAATGACATTTCATAAATAGATCCAATAGAAGATAACAGGTACAGAATAGAGTAATCTAGATACTCACCCTTTTTAGAAATTCTTCTGCACATATGCGTGCTCTGGCATTAACTGATAATTTCATTTCACTGATTTCTCTATCAATTTCTTCCATAAAGTGAATAACAAAATCTACTATTTTATGTTTGTACATTTGTTCTACATGAATATTAGTAATTAAGAAACTGATATCATAACCCTGCAATAAATATTGTTATAAATTATAAAGGTTTAAAAGTTTACAAGTTTAATAACAGTAAATTTTTAACTATTTACCTCTATTGGTTTTCTTCTGAGTATCATAAAGTGTTCGGCTCTCATTGTCATAAATCTTGTAAAATTATGACAAAGAATTTTTTCTAAATCATCAGCTTGTTTGACAGCAATACTTATTCTCATACTGTTTATACTGGATTCAATCAATACTTTTTCCTTGTCATTTCTACTTATCAAGATAGGTGTTAAAAGCAGTTCTTTGCTCGCTCTTACTTCTACTTCAGGTTTGTTATGTTTTTCAACGATTTGAGAAGAAAAGTTTTCCAGACACATAGCAGCAGTAAGCGTACGCCTAACTGCTGTCAAATAGGGCTTTAGTGTTCCCGACTGTAAAATAAATAAACTAAACAATATAAGAGATATCAGATTTATTAATAACTCACAATTAATCACTAAAAGTCAACATGCATAGCTGGATGACATTAGCTAGAAAAATTCAAGATATTTTAGCCTAAAATTATTAGTCTAAACAAATTGCTATTAGAATCCACAGTATTCTGGTATACTTGCAGCAATAGTTAAAAGCATAGTTAAAAAAACACTACTTTCAGAAACATCACTTAAGTGTTCCATATATTATTTTCTTCTTATTTAATATACTTATTAATATTTGATGAACAAGAATAACTATACATGGGAATACTTGAATAATGTTTCTTGAATGTTTCATAGCCTTGTATTTCTTACATCAATCAGTTTGAAATGGCTGAATAATGTGACTTACCATACTTGCGAAAGATAATTCACAAATTTCGATTCAACATTCGCATTCACGTTGGATACTCGGCTATTACAAAGTTGTCAAAATTTGTTTTGTACTTTTCTATTTTATTTGGCAAAGAGTAGTAGAAAGAAGATATGAAACAACACGATATATCAACCAGCAAACTCCAGTTCACTAATTTGACTATTCCAGCGATTTCAGCTTACGAGTTGATGAATTCAATAAACCTGATCCCCTCTGGCTGAGTCAGATCCGGCAATTCCTTCAACTTAATTCGATATCTAATAATCGGGGCGTCAACAGGCGTCAACGACAAATATCTCGAACTTATTTTCAATCGTCGAAATTTTATTGTATTAAAAGGAAACAAATTTTTCGCGTTGTTTCGACCAATCACAATTCTGGAAGTGGATATGTACTAAAAATGCATTCGCATTTGACGCTTGCAACCATAATAAGCTGGATGCACAATGAAAAACGCAGGCAACAGATTTCGACCAATCAAAAGCTGTGCAGAATATTGGAGATATTTCTGATTGGTCGAATCTGTTGCCTATTGGCTTTCAGTTTTCTCTCTAGTTTAATATTTTTTGATAGATATATATAATATAGTATGTGTATGTGTATAGTATGTGTGATATGTTAAACATAAAATAAAAATATGAGTTAAAGATAAAATTATTTAATTAAGAAATAATTCTACTTCAGGGGGTTGATTGCGTATCTTGAAACAAAAGTGAGGAAATTTACTAGATTTAGACGTATGAGGGTGAGATTCCGATTATTCATTGTGTGTGTTTCTTCCGCAAAAAATTAGATTTAGCATAACAATAATAACGTAAAATAACAGCATAAAATAACTAGGCAGAATCTGATGTTCAAGTTGTGAAACGATGTGATTGGTCGGCGCAAGTTACGCTTACGCAAGTTACGCCGCATGTGACGGGATCCTTAAGTCGCAAATATTCTAGTGAATTTCTTCACATTTGTAATTTTCACTTCGTTTCAACATCACACAATTAATCCCTAGATTCAATAGTTACGAATAAATATCTAGATAGGATGTTTGTATAAAAAGTATCTAACTTCAGACGTGAAGGCACACCTGAAGCCAAGCATATAGTCGTTTATTGTACCAGCTATCACAATCTAGAAAAATCGAAACGCCATCCACATTGGATATCGAAAGCTTTGTTTGAGGCAATTTCACGATATTCCTGCGTTTTTCTACTTTTATTCGCGAATGTATGCTTCCTTTCCGATCAAGAGGCAAAAACGGTTTACCTTGGAAATTTAAAATCGATCGACAAGTGTGATTGGCGATTAACGTTAACATATAACAAAAAGGAGCTATTTTCGGTAAGTTTCGAAGATAATTTGCAATAGAATGCCATGCAATCGTGAAATCAATCGTCATATGATTACACGCTTCTATCCGCTCTTTGGTTTCGAACATTTTACATATCTATACACATCCAAAGACTTCAAGGATGAACAAACGTTTGAAGAAAAGTTTTATCCATAGTCGCAAAAATTTATATACACATCAAATACTGGCGCATTTTGAGCGAGTGACATTAAATTAATAACCATGGATCAAAAATATTTAATCTACATATTGTTTGTAAAAGTGTCTTCAAGGATTATAAGGTAGAAGCGATGGAAATAAGTATGTCGTTTTCAAGTCGAAATGCATTCATAGCACAAAAAATGGATAAACATTTATGTAGATATGTGATTATGCAAAACTTTATAATTTGCAGTTATTCCTTAGTTTATCGCAAACTGTTTAAAGAATCTATTCTACTTGTCTATGCTTGTTTATCTTCGATCAATATTTATACTCCATTTATACTCCAACAGCCATTATAACCAAGAATTTTGAAATAATAATCTTATTTCCATAATTTTCAGCTTGATTGATCTCACTTATTGCTAAAATATATATTACCATTAATGTTCTCCTATCTGCTTGCTCATATGAGATACAATGAAAAGAATAAGGCTCTGTATATAACAGAAGAACAGGAATAAATATTAAATTTTAGAAATGAAAATTAGAAACAGATTTAAACGTAATGCAAAACAGACATAAATAAATATATAATTATATCTTATATTTATGTTCATTGTTATGTTTAATCTTTTCTTTATTTTCATTTCCAAAATTTAACAATATTTGTGTTCCTAATTTCTGTTTCTCTATTATGTGTAGAATCTAAGAAACCTTGTTCTCGAAGAGGCCTCATTCTCGAGAAATATGAAAATCTTACAGTATACATCATTATGTATTATAGATTTTCATATGAAAATATGATATTTAGATGTAGATTGAGATAGAATTTAGATATAGGTATAGATTCAAAAATGTTATGAATTAAATTTCTAAAACAAATTCCCATTATGAATTAAATTTCTAAACAAATTTAAAATTTCTATTCTAAATAAAAGCTATTCATTCTCCTGCTATTAAATTTCATAAAATATATAGTGACATTCTTGTTGATATTTTTCTTGATGATTCATGTTTGCTCTTATTAGAAAGAGAGTTAGAAATAGAGATTTAAATTTTTCAATATGTAGGAAATGTGCTTCAATCATAATCGAGGAATATTATTATGTTCTTTTATTGATCAAAAGTATTTCTCCTTTCTAATTTTTATGTTTAATTTCTTATTCCTTATTCACGTTTGTTGTGTTTGTTTAACCTTATGGTTAAGTACAAAATATAAGGTAACACTGAATAATAATTTTGAATTATGAATCATATCTGATAAGATCAAAAGAAATAGAATGAATAATTTACACAATATATAAATAAATTGCTTATGATTATATAATGAAATACATAATGTAATATTTTGCAACATCATATGATTTAATAAATTTATAATCTATATCACACACACACACATATATATATATGTATATGTATATAATTTTAATTACACATATGTGTGTATATATATATATATATATATATTAAAATTAAATATATGTATTAAAATTTATTTATTTATCTTAATATTTATACAGTGACTACAGATGCTTGAAACTTGTCATGATATTTTTCTTAATTATTCATATTTACTTTCATTGAAATATAAATTATTGTTGAGACAATTATTTGTTGAATCTGATTGCTAATTGCTGAATGCTAATGCGTTAAAAAAATATTAATATTTGAGAAAAATTACAAGAACATTTTACATTTATTTTACATTCTAAAAAAGTAATGATAGATAAGCAATCATGATGATACCAAAATGACATATTTGAAGTATATTTGACAAAGATAATGTACGGAAAGATTCGCGCGAGCGAGGACATGTTTTTATAATGTCGCATAAAGTCCTTTGCCTCGATGTCATTCTCTGGCCAAATATATAAAACTGACGTCACGCTTCTCTATAAGAGCATAAGGACGCCCACTGGAATCGCTTCCGTCTCGTATGTTTTTCTCGCAAATGCATATGCTCTCAAATTGACAAATGTATTCGCGAACTCGTTTTCTCGCGTAATAAATCGGTCTTTTCAAGTTTGATCGATGGGAAGTTTGCTCGCTCGGTCAAAAAAGGCCCGAAAGATCCTGTTTTACCGAAAAGGGGTGGAAATCTAGCTAGAAGAATTTGGGAATTTGTGAAATCTCGCGACGACGTTAAGAATAATAATTAGTTGGAACACGAAAGTTTTCATTGGTGTGCGATTTGCGTTTGTCGCAATGACGAGCACGCTGGTTACAATCTGAATGAGCGAGCGAGTGAACGAGTAAGTAAACGAGCAAGCGAAAAAGAGAGACAAAGAGAGAGAAACTTTACACGTGTGCGTAGGCAGCGTGCATAGGTAGACCAAAATTGAATCCCAAAGTGGAGTGAGTCACACGAGTGTACAGCTTCGTCCTATTCCTAGGTAAAAGCACATAATAAGCTTTTTATCTCGCATCGATTGGTGTCATACGTCGATCATACGTCGAATTTTTTTTTTTTGTTTTTTTCCCTTCGACTAAGGGTACACAATTTCATTTGGCGAAGAGCCAGTTATCGAGAGCAAAAGTAGTATCAAAGTAGCAGAAGATGACGAATGTCACCTGATGCTGAGAGGTCCTAAAGAGATGTTGTCATATGCAAGATGCGACATAATGTTTAATTAAGTTTAATTAAAAGAAAAACTGTTCTGAAGTTATTTCATCTAAGACGATAATATATTTATAAGTATACCGAGACGAGGATGTGGACTTTTCTTTAAGTTTCTGACAAGACTGCTAATGCAAGACGGATATCTTCGTTGAAATTGAGATAGATTTCGGAATTTTCATTAAAATAATAAGCAATAACAAGCAAAGTGTTTTAATATCAAACGTAGCGATTGCAGTTTTCTGAGGAGGAAAATAGCACGAGAACTAAAAGACATATCCGTGTGCAATGATTTGTTTGGATAGGACTAAATAAAACTTGTAATTAGTCAAGCAAAGGAAGGTTTGTCAGGATATTTATTCAAATGTTGTTTGTTGAGAAGAAACGGGGAAAAAGGGGATTTAAGAATATTAGAGTCTGGAAACGTTTACGTTACGTTATAAAAAATGATAAATTTTTAAATAAATTCTTGAGTTGTAACAGTGCATCCTCCGTCTTTTTTCTCATTTAATTCGTTCGATTCATGAGCCTAATTAGACGTCATCGCCAGTGACACCTAATTGGACTAATTGGACGTCTATATGCAAAGTCGGTGAGTAGACAGCGGGCTGGTGGTGACTCCAATCCTTGGGCGACTCTTGATATCGCAATGACCTCCACTTCTATATTTCCAACTATTTTCGATAGTCGGCTTGGCTAACTTTAGTGATTTCGTTGCTAGTCGCCTCCTCAGGCTCACACGCTTCAGTTTCCCATCGAGATTTCGCCGTTGCGTGTCGCACATTCGTTATAATAATATAATAATAATAATAATAATAATAAAAAAAAAAAAAAAAAAAAGAAAAGAAAAAGAAAACAAGTAGAACAAGCGACGTGCGTATTTAAATTGTTAAATTGTTATCGACACACTCGCGTCGCGAATGTAACAATGTACATTGCTGGTTAAAGTGTCGAGTAGTAAACATTAAGGAAAATGTTACGAGAATGTCATTGTCGCGTTATTGTTGCGGGAAAAAATGTGGCTTGCTCGAGAAAGCAGGGCGATAACATGAACCTCGAGTTTCCGATCGTACGTTATGTCTCTTTTTAACGCTGTGTCATAATCGATTCCGCACTTTAGTATAGGCCAACTCTGTAACTCTTAATGACATGATGTCGTTAAAGGTTACAGACTAAGCTACCTACTGCCGTCGAATTCTCGTCAATTAATGCTCTCGCATTGTCCGACAGGTGGTTCCCAAAGTCCTGATTCATTTCTGAGCGTATCGAACAATGGTGGATTATTACAAAGTACTGGAAATACAGCGAAATTCCAGCAGTGTTGATATTAAAAAAGCGTAAGTCTCATTCTTTTATCTTTCATTTATCGCGCCCGTTTCATATATAGCACTACAAATGATTTAAAGCAAATTTCGAAATTTTACGAAATGATCCCTTAATCATGTTTTTGACAAACTCCGCTAACGCAATATCCGGCATATTTTCGTTTCACAGATATAGAAAGTTGGCATTAAAATGGCATCCAGACAAGAATCCGGATAATTTAGAAGAGGCAAATAAAAGATTCAAGGAAATCTCAGAAGCTTATGAAGTTTTGAGTGACGGTAACTATATGTACATTTTAAGAATGTAACAATCGTTTTGATCGAAGATGTTGCAATCTTCATCAGTAAGAAATGATTTTTCTGTATAGCTATAAGACTATAAGTTTTCTAAGACATGTTGATATCCAATGCCTTAATTAAATTCTTATAAAGACCCCGATAGATTCCAATAACTTTGGTGATGTAAAATAAGAACATTTCATAAATATCTATGAAATGAATTAGCGCGATTCAAACGCAAACTGTTTATTGTTTATGACATGAGAGTCGAAGATCAATCCTCTAGCTACGACACTAGCTAGTGAAAACTATACAAGTAATCTAAGTATCAGATTTCTAGGATTAACATGTTTGAACTAAAAACCGCAGCTTTTTTATTCAAAACGTCAAACATAATAGAGATGCTCCTTTCAAAAATATAGATCGCAGATTATAGATTGTCAAGAAAGTCAAACAGACGAGTGTTATGAAAAATGTATGCGTATAGTTTGGCTTGTGTACGAAAAAGAGCGGGGCGATATAGAAAATCTTTCCAGATGTGAAGAGACGTACTTACGATCAACACTTGTATCAGAGGGCAGCATCAAAACCCGGCCGTGGATTCACCTTCCGGAGTTTCTTTGATTCTCCTTTCCAGCGATATTTCGGTATCACTTGAAAAACGATTTGCAGAGTGCTCAAAACATTGTGTAGTTTCTTCTTTTTCTATTTGCCTTAACAATGTATTATAAAATAATTTATCGTGTTTCTTCTTCTCTTTTGAAAAGATTCAAGGAATATTTGACACGATGAAGAGGCGAGATCGACGACTAGAATACGCATCTTCAAGTTGCAAATTGAGTTACAGTAGCAGAGTTACTTTATAAAAATTGTATTTCATAATCTAAAGATCTCTTTGATCAGAAGAATTTTGAGTACAAATATCAAATTGCAATGATTATTCGATACACACAATCGGAGAAAATTCACAACATTCTTTTTATTGTCACTATTAAATAGATAAAAAGATATGAGCGATCGAATATGCGTTGCAGTTAATCCCGCTTGTTATTCTATTGTCAGCGTGTGTTAACAGTTAATGCTAGCGAATTATAACTTGATTGAGAGTTACATTTTTGAGAAAAAATTCAATATGTCTTAGCCACGATTGCCATCTTAGATTAATATTCTATTGAAGATCAGTTTTTCAAAGAAAAAAAGAAATGGGAATATTTGATCTATTATGTTAACAATTTCTTACGTTCACATATACAAAGTGGGGAAAAAATTCCAGATCTCTGAAATATCTCGATAACAAAACATTTTTAAGAAAAATGTTTCATTAATCACAAAATGTAAGGTTTTAAGAAACGCATCACATAGCAAGAGAGTGCAACCTTGAATAGCGTTGTCAGGTAAAAATTACCTTGAAATTTTTTAATGAAAATTCCTATTCTTTATTGCACATTCTTGTAATTTATTTCGAGAGCTTTCCAAAACACTATAATTAAGTACTTTTTTTTAAAGGCCATAACGATTAATCAGTCGGAATTTTTTTTCCATTTACCAGGGTGTTGGAGTTTTTAAATAAAAATCAAAGAGATGGCAACCATGGTTTTAGCATAAGCTAAACTAAGTTATATTTATATATTTAAGTTGACATGAAAGTGATAGACGATAATATTTTGAACTAACTTTCCTCAAGTCTTGCAAAAGCCTCGCTTGTTGGATTTTGATTGAAAGAAGCAAAATTGCAATATGTATATATACAGGATGTTTTTTGTAACTCGATCATTTCGAGATCATCAACATTTTTTTAAATGTTATACATTTTCATTAATGTAATAATATAATTTATAAAAGAAACAAATTCAGTTATATATGTGTTATGTATGATACGTTGACCCTAAGATAATCTTAAACATTAAAAAAATCACATTAAATGTGATCTTATGTTTAACGTTATCTTAATGTTTAAGGTTATATATGTCTAAGGTGAACAAATCCTATATGTTGAATCTATTTTATGACTATATTATTATTTTATGAAAATATGTTATTTTATTTAAAAAAAATGTTGATCTTGAAATCTTGTAAAATAACAATATTTAAAAAAGATCCATCATAATATCTCTTTGAAACAAACTTTTTTCTTTATATATTATTTCATATCATTAAAAACAAAGATATTCTAAATGATCAAGTTACAGGAAATAATCCTATACAATAATTATAAGTCAATAAAAATAACAAATATTTTTCTTGGAAATTTTTAGAAAAGAAGAGACGCGTTTACGATCAGTATGGCAAGGAAGGTCTTCAAATGCCTGGAGGCAAACGACGCCATGGAGATGATTTCGATTCACACTTTGGCACATTCGTTTTTAGAGATCCTGAGGAAGTATTTAGAGAATTTTTCGATGGGATACCGTTTGAAGATTTATTTGCCGGTAATGTATATCTAGATAGAAAATATCTGTATGGTAAAAGACAAATGCTGCAAACATTGAATTTTACAGGTTTTCATGGCGGTGGTTCCCGGAGAGGTGCTGGAGGGAGACATGGTCATTCGACTAATAACAGTCTGAGTACTTCTTTCTTTGGACCCTTTGGATTTGGTTTTCGTTTGCCGTTTGATGATCTAATGGGAAATGCTAGTGCCGCAGGAAACTTTACCTCCTTTGGTACCTCCTTTACCAGTTTCGATGGAATGGGTGGAGGCGCTGCTGTAAAGCGTACTAGTACTTCGACTCGTTTCATTGATGGAAAGAAGATTACAACCAAAAAGTAAATCTTGACACAACGTACACTTAAATAAAATTTGATATACAGAGAGTGTCCGGAAACTCGCTTGCATTACTTCTCGAAGTGATTCGGGATAAAAAACAAGTTATATAAATATGATAGATCCGGAAATGAGTTGTTTTCGAGTTATACGTCCACTTTTATATTTAAAAAAAACTACAATTATTTAAAAGTAAATATAACTTAGAAATAGTTCATTTTTGGATCTATGTTTATATAGCTTTTTTTCTTTTTGGATTCCGAATCATTTCACGAAGTATGCGGGCAAGTTTTCTTGTATTTTTATATGACAATTATATGACACATCTTTTCTAATTGTCCCTTTTCTTGTATTTTTTTACAGAGTCTATGAAAATGGAAAAGAAACAATAATGTCTTATGAAAATGATGTACTGAAATCGAAGACAGTGAACGGCGTACCACAGTCAATAACGTACAGTTAAAACACATCTCATTCGCTCGATCTCTCCTTGGCAATTGAGAAATTCCTGTCGTCACGATTCAAACATCTGTAAATGAGTACCTTGTATCCGCGTTAATCCGTCTCTACACAGTTCCTCTTCTCAGTCCTTGTCCATTGTTTCGTCGAGAATGTAACAATTGATATACTTGTACTCTACACTTACTCATCGTATTATTCACCAAAATTGACAGCTGATAATAGTGAGATAGGCTCTCTAAGCCCGAGTGATCGGAGCATTAATGATTGGAATTTATATAAAACAAGAATGAATTGTCTTTTATGCAGACTTCGATTTTCCGTCATTTCGTTTGTTTGTGTGTGTATTAGGTTCGACGAAGCATCGACGAGTCGTCAAGTCTGTGAGAACAGCCACGATAACACGATGGGTAGCCACAATTCAAACGCGATCCACAGCGACTATCTAAAAGCTAGCAGAATAAAGACGCATCATCATCCGCACACGAGTAAGAAGCACGATAGAAGTAAGAAGAAATAATTTACTTCGCTCTTGTCTCAAGTTCCTTGTATATCAAGTTGACTAGTGTGCGCTTCTGATGTACTTGACAAATTTGGTTCCAAGGGTAAATTTTCATCTTATCAATATTATTCCACTATCCATTATTACTTGACAAAAATCCATAAATTGATAAGCAAAAAGAATGTCGCTAATCTATGTACGAATTAAGAAGGAAAGAATAACATACTATATAGACGATCATAATTGATTCACGCGATTTGTAAACAATAAAATTTATTTAAAGAAAAGAATACAATTTGTCGGCTTTTAGTTTTAAAAGTGAAGCGGCTTGTCGTTCAATCGTTTAGCTTTGTGAAAACAAGCTGTTTGAATTTAGTTAGATATCGTGATAACGTATCGCTTACGCCATGAATTGAGACTAATTTACAAATAACATCTGTCTCCTAGTTGTATGACGTAACCGATGCCGTTTGCAAACTTTATTTTCGGTTATCGTTAAGTTACAGAACTGACACAAAACTTGTAATTTCTTAAAATTATTTCATGCGATTAATAGCATATCAGTTAATAGCATAATTTATTTTCATCCCTGCGTATGTTTATCATCGTTGATTCTAGCGTTATTTACCGATTTAAGTTTTAGTTAAATATGCACAAGCACATACCGTTGAGAAACTGTTAGAAGAACCATTTTTTTCGATCGTATTTCCTTCGATTAGCTATTTACATATGTGTATATAATAATAAGAAAAAAAACGTTATAGAAATACATTATTAATATACATTATCTTGAGAGTATGAATCTTCAATATGGAACTGAATAGTATGGGATTACAACAAACGGCAGAGATGAAATTGCTGTTTATATATAAAGAGGGAAAATCAATTGCTACAGAAATATATATATGCGAGTAGTGTTTTTATACTGATTAATAATCGTGTAAATACAAGATTTATAAACGAAACAAAGAAAGTGCATGTAGTGTTACTACTAAATAATAGAAAATCAGTATTGTTACTATATCTATATGCGGTACACGATCATTCATATAGGCGTAATGTGTCATATTTCGGATGCTTCCCATCAATAGTGAAAAAGTGTTTTATAAACAATTGGACGCGATTACATGCAAATATTTATATGCACGTATACACATGATAATGAGCCAACTATTTTCCGATTGAAGCGATTAATTCCTCTACTTTAGCTATGTATTTCTCTTTTGCCGTTTCTTGTCCCATGCTCTTTTTACCATTCCAAGCATCCCATTTTGCTTTTCCTTTGAAATCCAACATTCCTGGCCTCTCTAGAAGAAAGATTATAGATTATATTATTTGTACACATACATATGATGAGTAATGAGTTGTCCATAAAAATGTACCTGTGTTACAATCACCGACGGTAGCTTGCTTATACAGAGCATACAATTCGAGTAAGTCTTCATCTTCTGGTTGTGCAGCCAATTCTCTTACTGCTGTAGCTGCATTGTTAAATCTCTGAGAAGAGAGATACGTTTTTATGATCACTTGATAACAAGAAAGATTTTTTTAATTTTTATTTCGTAAAAAGCTGTTAAATCTAATAGAAATTATAATTTAATCTATTGGAATACAATAGCGTAACACTAATGTATCATTATATAATTCAATGCTAATTTCAAGTAAAAAATTCTTTCAATATTTTTATTTTTTTTATCTGTAAGGAGAGTAGTAAATTAATAATATGTAGATCATATAAAATATATTAATTATCAAATTCATACTGATTATTTAATTATTACATTTGTATAGGGATATACATAAAAAATTTATACAAAAATTGATTATTAAACATACAAATATGCCAAACTTTGTTAAAATTATAAAACAATATATTGATTATATACACATACGTGCGCGCGCGTGGTGTGTGTGTGTGTGTGTATAATACAGTTATGTATTATATAAAAAAATTATCTCATTTTTATGTTTACACAATAATTTAAGATGGATATAATAAAATAAATTTTATATATAAATAAATATATATGTATGTATAAATTTATTTTTACTTTAGGTATAAGATCATTGTAATAAATATTAAATATGAAATTTTATATGAAATTTTTTTTATATCTATAATATAAACATTATCAATTTCAAAGTTTGGCATATTATATTTTATGATTATTTTCTTGCTTAAAATTTATTTATATCTATTATATAAATATACAAATTGATTGTCCCAATATTACAATTTAAAATGTTAGGATGAATGAATCACAGATTTGAATAATCAATATATTTTAGATGACAAAATTATTCTTTAAATTTTTATAAATATGCATATATGATATATGTATCAGATAGCATAATTTTGCTAAAATAACTTAATTTACACTAAATTTAATAGAGAACTTTGTATATAATTATAAAAATATCCACTTCAATTTGCAGAATATTTTCTTATCGACTGATCATTAATTCTTAATTTTTTCTAGCTTAATAAACTTATTTAAAAAATGTATATTACGAAACATTTTAGTATATTGTCTTTTTGAAATAATTTCGAAAATTATAATCATTCAAATACACAATCGATTATACTGATATGAAGACAAAAATAATTAATATAGACATTACTTCAGCTTCAGCTACAGACAGCTTCATGACTTCACTAAACTTAAACTAATAATTACTAATTTCATTTCTTGCTCTAACTTTAATATTTTGAAAACAAAAATGCGAATTTCACATGTTCTATTTTTGCATGTATGTATGTATAATGTAACATAATCTAAATTATGATAATTTTGTTAGAATTAAATTTGCTTATTTATTCTTACCTCATCCAGCGACATAATAAACAATATTAGTTTAGAGTAGAGGACACAAAGTTATGACGACAATGATGTCAGAAAAAAATTGTATGTGGGAGAGATACGGTTATAGGTTATGACACTCGTTAACGGATGCCGCACTAAGAAACTACGTACGTGGCCATATACATGGCATACGTGGTTCTCTAGTTCAACTTAAAGCAACGATTAATTTTTTATTGTGAAGATTACTGGCTTTTCTTGTAATTTAGAACACATCGATAAATTGGCGAATAAAGTTCGACGTCTTTACTATGAGAAAATATTTCATTTAAAAATAAACATATATCTTCATTGCAAATCTTTATGGGAAATAAGGATCTTCTCTTTTTCTATTTACAATAAGATTATTTTAATAAAATTCCAATTTTCTGTCTAAACATTATATAGTAGTATTATAAAATACTTATAATAAATTACTCATAATAAATTACTATAAAATACTTTAATAAATACTTATTAAAATATGCTAATTTAATGTTGTTACAATGTTAATTATGAAATAATTTAATTATTTTATAATAATTCAATACTATTTGAAAGTTACAGATATTTTAATATGTTCTCTAACAGATTAATATTTTAAAAATAATTAATAAACTATGAACTGTATGGTAAACAATGTCTCATATACATATATATCTCATATACATATATATACACGGATAGAGATTGATCATCTCTCTTTATCTAGTCTCTTTATCTACTCTCTTTATCTGTTACTTCTGCAGCATGGAACAAAACCACAAAATCATGGACATAGCACGAATGAGAACCATACAATCGCGGATATTACCTACAGACATGGACATTGATTACATAGTTTAATGTCCACGTTTTTATGGACATAGAGGCGCTTCA